CGCAACGACCGTGACGCTCTTTTTCCACTGCGCCCCGGGGGGGAACTCAGAGCCGCCCCGATCCCCGCACCCACCCCGCACCCCAGACCCCAACCCGGCACCGGGGGGGCGGCAGCCCCGCCCATTCGCACCGCAGAAGGTTTCAGCGACGCCGCGAACAATAGCGCGGAGCGGAGCCCAAGGTCAGCCTCCCCCCTCCCCCCCCCCACCGCAACGCGACACCGCACCGTACGGAACCCCCGGGCCCTACAGGAGGAATCTGCGGGGCCGCCCCCGCACGGCAGCGCCACGCAGTGCCCCCCCCACCCCCCGCGCAGCCCCGTGCGCTGCACCCCCAGCAGCCCCGCGGGGACCCCCCCGCCCGGCCCCGCCCGCCCGCAGCTGTCACGGCTCCGCCGCCCGCTCAAGGTCACGCGTGAGAGCGGCGCTGCGGGGACGGCGCGGGGCGGCGGCTGCGGGCTCCGGGGGGGGCGTGGGGACCCCGCATCGCCCCCCGCGGGTCGCGGCGGATCCCGCAGCGCCGAACCGTGCGGGACCCGCGGGCGGCGCTCCGCCGCTGCGGCAACGGGGATGCGGGGAAGGGGCTGGAGAGGAGGAGGATGAAGGCCGCGCCCGGCTTTGCGCGGGGTCAGCGCGGCTGCGGGCGCGGTGCGGGCGCTGATTCATTAATTAATTTATTGAAGGCGTACGTTGCGCGGCGCGCCGAAACAACGCCCGTTCCGCCCCGCACCGCCGCGGCCGTTACGAAACGCAACGCGGGAGCGGAGCTCCGCAAAGCGCCGCCGCTGCGGGGGCGCACCGGGCGCGGCCCCCCCCCCGCCTTAACCCCGCACCGGGCGCGGCCCCCCGCCCCGCCGCTCCCCGCGCCGTGCCGGTGCCCGCGCACCACGTGCTGACACCGCCGGTGCCGCCGCGGCCCCGCACCCCCCGCAGCCCCTTTAAGGCGCCCCCCCCCCCCCGCGTCGCCTCTTTAAGAACGCAGCCCCCCCCCCCGCGGCGTCGCCCCTTTAAGGCACGGCGGGGCCGGGCCGGGCGCGCTCACCTTGGGCCCGCGGAGGCGCGCGGCCGCGCGGCTGCCGGCAGCGAGGAGCGTCATGGCGGCGCGGGGCGGAGCGGACGGAGCGGGCGCGGGGCCGGGACCGGGACCGAAGCGAACGGCGGCGGCGGCGGCGCCCGGGGGTCCTCGGCGCGGCGGGCGGGGCGAGGCGCGGCGCCGCGTACGTTATTAGCATAGCCCCGCCCCCGCCCGCCCCCCTCGGGGCTGAGCCGCTCGCTATTGGCCGCGCTCGTCCCTGACGGGGCGGGGTTATGCAAATGAGGCGGCGGGGGGCCGGGCTATAGGTGGCCGCCGCGTTCGCCTGATCTGGGCGTGGGGTGCGGCGATGGGAGCCCCGCCCCGTGACGTCACCGAAGCACCGTGACATCACGGATCGCTGCGTGACGTCACCCCTTCGCATCGCCCCCTCTCTCTCTCCCGACGCGTGCCGTCATTATTGCTCGGCTGCGACTCAGTGCTGCTCTGCGATGTCAGCACGTGGCGCTCAGCCCGTGACGCCGCACTGCACTGCGGTGACTTCGGAGGAGAGGACACGGCGGGGGGGGGGGCACGGTGCCCAATAACCCCGGGACATTGTCCTGGTGACCCCACGGTGGCACCACGCGACATGTGGGTGGCACACCCACAGCACCAAGGGGACAGGGGCTGCCTGAAGGACCGCGTGGCACGGGGGCACTGGGGCAGCGACAGCGCTGAGCTACGTAAGGAAGAGCAGCCTGCGGTCAAAGGGCACCGCAGGGCCATCATCGCTCCTGCGGGTAAGGGCCCTCCCTGCCCCAGCCTCACACCCACCCCCCCCGAGGTGCACAGCAGCGACACCAGCCCACATTGGGCCCCATTTATTGCCTCCTGGATTGGGCCCCGGGTGCCCAACAGACCCACAGCAGCACCGCTGTCCCTATAGCAGCCCCAGGCAGCAGCAGAGAGAACCTGGAGCCACGCATCAGCCACCGGAACGCCCCCACCCAAAGGACGCGTCCCTGCCCACACGGCAGCGGATGGACAGCGAATAAATAGGACGGGAGAATCCCCCCCCAGAGTGGGGATGGGGCCGAGGCTGTGGGGCAGCGTGGTGTTGTCGTGGGGTCGGCGCAGCCCGGGGCCGTCGGCGTCACAGCTCATCATGTGGGAGGTGCAGTGCGTGGTCGCACAGATCTGTGGGGACAAAGCATTGCTCAGAGCCACACGCAGCCCCCCCCAGGGCCCCACAGCCAATCCCTCAGGCATAGGGGAGCAGCAGCAGACCCACCCTGGTGTCAGGGTGCAGGTAACGAGCCTGGAGCACGCTCATTAATAAAGGAAGCACAAAGGTCGTGGTGTGCCCTGACCCCGGTGTTTGCGAACCAGAAATAGCACTGCGAGGCCAGGAGTGGGCACCAGGCCATTGGCTGCGGGGGGAGCACAGGGCCGGGGCGGCCAATGGGGACAGCAGGACGGCCGCCCTGGCTCGCCCCAAGCACAGCACCCAAAAAAAGCTGCAGGGCTGGGAGCACAGAGAGCAGGAGCACAGTGTGGGATGGGACAGTGCAGGACAGCACGGCGATGGCTGCTCACTGTGCTCCCATCCTGCAGCTCCCGGCCCAGTGCTGGGGCTGCTCGCACCTCCAGGAGAAACATCTTTAAGAAACACCCCCCAGAGAACCAAAGACAACAGGAGGGGAGAGCAGGCAGCCCCAGGGACACACCTGGAGGGGGCAGTCCTGCGCCACACCCAGGGAGAGCTCACAGAGGTGGCTCTGCGCCCCTTGAAGTGCCCCCTGTCCTTGTGGCCCATGGCAGACAGCCCCCCCCGCCCCCTCCCCACTCACCCGTCCGCTTGCTGCAGAGCCGGTCCTTGACGTTGTCAGCCTCGTGCGACAGGAACTCAATGAGCTCATCCTCGTACTCCTCAGCGATGCTCTCACACTGCAACAGAACCACGTGTGGGTCAGCAACAGAACCCAGGGAGCCCCCAGTCCCGCAGCCATCCCCGCACGCACCGCAAACTTGAGGCTGGAGGCCACATCGCCGTCGATTTTGACCCCGGAAAGGTCCATCTTGGTCCCGTCGTGGGAGATGACGCGCACGTAGCTCTTGCGGTGCGTGGACGGATCCACCTTCTCACCGTACTCCTTCATCTTCTCACAGATCCGCTCCAGCAGCTCCGTCAGGTGAGCCTCAGAGCGGGCGTACGGCACCTGCGGGGCGGGGGGTCAGAGCTGGGAGGGCAGCGCTGGGGGGACCGGGACGCGGCCCTGCTCGTAACCCCGGCGCCACGGCACCCGGCTCGGCGCTCACCTCCACCACCGACTGGCTGCCGTCGGGGTTGATGCGGAACGAACCCATCTGGATGGTTTTCCGGGGGTCGACCTGGGCGATCTCCCACTCCAGCTCGTCCACCAGCGCCCGGCACGCTGCGGGACAGGAGCGTCAGCGGCCCCGGAGCCCGGCATCCCAGCCGCCGCCCCGCGCTCGGAGCGGAGCCCCGGCGGCACCCCGTCCCGTCCCGTCCCGTCCCACCTCCGCAGTGCAGGTCCTGACTCCGCCGGCCGCTCACCGCGGGCAGAAGAGCGGCCACAGCCGCGGCCACGCACAGCGCGGCCGGGATGGAGACGCGGCCCCTCCTCATCGTCCTCATCCTCCGCCCCGGCCGCGCGCAGCCCGCTCCCCGCCCGCCCCTCACCCGCCGGGCCCCGGCCGAGCCCCCGACCGCCACCGCCGCCCCCCGGTCCCGCCGTCCCCGGGGCTGCCCGCCGCGGTGCCTGTCCCGCCGCTCTCCTCGCGGCCGCTCTGTGGCGGAGAACGGCCCCTCCGGGAGAGCGGGAGGGAGGCTGCCGGAGCGACGGTGGCTGCCGTGGGGTCGAGGCCGCTCCTCGGAGCGCGGCCGGGCCGCCCCGCGCACAGGCAGCGCCTCGGCCACCCCCGGCGGGGAAAGGCCCCGAGTTGACAGGACCCGGCCCGCGTGGCGGTCGGCCCCAGGGGGCGGAGCCTATGGCGAGCGCGCCCCTTTTTGTGCATAACCACGCCGTCTCGTTTGCATAACCCCGCCCCCTCGGCCTGGCCCCGCCCCCTCACGCTCCGGTCCCCGTCCCGGTCCCGGTCCCGCAGCAAAAGAAGCGGCGGCGCGAGGGGAGCTCCGAGGCGGCTTTATGGCTGCGCCCGAACCGGCGGGCGGACAACACGGGCTGTGCCGCGCTACTGCCGGGCACGGGCGGCCCCTCCCGGTACCGGCGGGGAGTGCGGGTCCGCGTGCCCAGAGGCAGCGCTGAGCCCTGGGCGGCCCCGGCCCCGCTGCTGGTTCCAGTCCCGAATGTTCTTCGTCCCCTCACAGCGCCAGCACGGGGGGGAACACGGCCCCATCTGCGGAGATAAAGTGGAGTCAGGGGGGGCAGGGTGGGGGGACAGGGGGGTGCGGTCCCGGTGCTTACGCTTGGGGCTGCTCTGGCTGTCGGGCTCGGGCACCTTCCAGTCCAGCTTGCGGCCTTTCTCATACAGGGCCTTCAGCACCTTGCGGAAGTCGTCGGGCTCGCTGCCCCCCTGGCTCAGCTCCAGGTATTTGCGGTACAGCTGCAGAGCCGTGCGTGCGTCCTCGATGCTGTCGTGGGTCTCACCTTGGATCTTCAGGTCTGCAGGGAAAGCCCGGGTCAGTGCGGAGCTCCCCCCGCGGTCCCCAGTGGGAAAGAAGCCTGGGGGAGCCATTCTCAGCACCCCCCCAGGTCGCAGGATGCAGCCACTAACCCAGGAAGTACCAGGCGAGGAAGCGCAGGGAAATCATTCTCTTCCTTGGGATGTGGAACAGGTACACGGTGTCGATCACCTGGTCCTTGGGCACCTGGAAGGCAGAGGCTGCTGCTGGCGGTGCACAGCTCCACGTGCAGGGGTTGCTATGGGCCCCCCACACCACCCAGGACACTGCGGGGCTCCAGGGATGGGGTTCAGAGCTCTCACCATGAGGTTGATGACACGGAAATCCTTCTGCAGCCCATGGCCCACAAATTTGACACCCACGTCGATGAGGAAGCGCAGCTTCAGGTAGGTGGATTTGAGAGTGGTGAGGTGCTTAGAGGAGATCTTGGCATCCAAGTCTCCAGGCTTAATCCCCGAATACTGCGTCAGGTAATCTACCACCTGTGGTGACAGAGCACACGGTGCCAGGCTGGGACAGGTAGGGGCACCCACAGGATTTGTACCTTCTCTGCTCCTCCCAGCGTCCCAGGGAAGGTGCTGCCATTATCCCAGGTAATACCTCCAGAGAGCAGCAGGCGGAGAGGCTGTGCCACCTCTGCACAAAGCCCCCGGAGGCACCGTACCTGCTCTTGAGTGGAGATGTAGTCGTCAATGAAGGGGACACCCTCATTAGGACCCTGACCCCGCACGCACGTGATCCTGGCCACCGACATCTGGCTGGGCTTGATGGTAGATTTGGTCCCATCACTGCGCAGCTCAGCCTCCTCCTGCAACAGACAAGAGGAGAGCTCAGGGACAGACAGCTCCTGCAGCCCCGTGTGACCTGGCACAGCCACAGCACCCTGTCCCCCACTGCCTGACCTCATTCAGCGTGACAAACTCGGCATCCAGCCCCACCAGGTCGCCCGCCTGTGGCATCTCACTCAGCATGAGGGGGATGAAAGTGGCATGGCACTTGCGCTGCTTGCGAGCCAGAGAGGCCTCTGCCAGCAGTACGCTGGCTTCAATTGGGTTCTTGACTGCAGGAGAAGGGAAGGGGGGATCAGCTGGGAGCAGACAGCTTGCCCCCACGCAGCCAATTCCACTCAGACACTCACTGACAAGGTTGTACTTGGAGTTGAGGTTCCTCCGGGCGTAGTACAGGATAGCTGGCACCTTCCAGCTCATGTCAAACTGCACCGCCTCGCACTGCAGGGAGGGAGGGACAGGAACATGGCAGGAATCCCATTTACAGCAGGAATCAGAGCCCTGGCTCAGCACCAGGGGAGGAGCTGCTGGGCTCCCTCACTAGTGGCCACAGGCGCTCACCTTATCTACAGGCTCAATGAGGAAGTCGTTGAAGAGATACCACTGCTGGTGTGTGACTCCCTGTGGAGAGAGGCACAGACACTGCATTAGAGCCCCCCC